AAAGAAAAAAAAAAAAAAAAAAAAAAAAAAGAGCATGGGCTCTGGATTCAGCCTGACTCACTGTATGGACTTGGCAAAGTCACTTCCAACCCTTTTAGCCATGGTGTTGGAGTGAGCAGGACTGAAGCCATGTTGGGACCTAAAACCGCATGGGCTCTAAAAGATTTTAATAAGACAGTTTTTTTTCTTGGCATGCATTTCTCTGACTTCCCTCTTTTTCCATGGTTATTTGATATTTTGAACCTTGGTTATGGGGCAAAATGACATTATTTACATGAACATAAAGTTGTTTTCCAGCCAGCCTAAAGCTGCAGACGTGCTACCCAGACCCTGAGATAATAGCAAAGATGAGAACAGAAACCAGACGAGGCTTTGGTGAGACCTTGCACCTGACTCATAGACATGGACCCCTCACTGTTCACATGCCCCTCCCTCCTGCTTTTCACTTCCCATCTTCCATTCCCTCATCCCCCTCTTTAAAAACCCCTGGCTGCGATGGCTTTAGTCTGGCCATTCTACTTCAGGTTTACTGGAAAGAGATATGGGTTAGCCTAACATCTCTTCCCTCCCTCCTGCTTTTCACTTCCCATCTTCCATTCCCTCATCCCCCTCTTTAAAAACCCCTTGGTAAACCTTAATCTTTGCGATGGCTTTAGTCTGGCCATTCTACTTCAGGTTTACTGGAAAGAGATATGGGTTAGCCTAACATCTCTTCTCAGATCACCGGTATTCCCGAATAAAAGCTGACTTCCACTTTCACCAACATGTGACTTTTGTTTTTTGTCCGGGGGCAGGCAGCCAGACTTGTGAGTTTGATATCAGTTTTGGGGAGTCTCAGCCAGGAGCTGAGTGTGCCCTGTAACAATGGCTCCCTATCTATAAAATGGGGTAATATAATAGTAGGGTTCTTAGGAGGAGTAAAATAATGGACATTAAGCACTTACAGCAGGTATCTCAACCTTGACACTATTGGGCAGAATAATCCTTCACTTGGGAGGACCTGCCTAGTGTATTGCAGGAGGTTTAGCAAGCATCCCTGACCAGGAGCACACCACCCTCCCTCACCAGGTTGTGACAACCAAAATATCTCCAGACACGGTCAAATGTCCCCTGGAGGCAAAATCGTCCCCAGTTGATAACCACTAACCTAGAACATTTCCCAGCACATGGTAATGGCATAACAGTTGTGGTTTATGATTAAGATTAACAAAGAACAAACATACTCTCTTTCCATGTTCTTTGGTCTGAAAAGAACTTATCAATTAATCTGATTCATTCTTTAATAGTGTCAATAAAATCACTTTTAGTTTTTCAAAGCAGCTTCTCACTCCCTCTACTTCTTCAGACACATTTTAAAGCCTTGAGTGGGTGAGTAAAGAAACTAAAAGGGAAATTCAGAGTCTTTTCACTAATGAGTTATAGTAAACTCTATACAATACGTATTTAATAATTAATAGAACTTAGTATAACGTAAGTGGTAACAAATGTGTTTCTATTATAGAAATCAGAATAAAAGCAAATAATTGAAAGTATCAAAGCTGTTAGGAACACCAAGTACACTTCTGGACTTGGGTATGCCAAGAATACTTGAGTATTCTGAAGTGGCTGCTGCTTTTGATTCTCAGACTACATTTGATATGTTAAACACTGTAACAAAGAAAAAACTGTTTTCAAAGTGGGCATTAACTTCCAACAGAAACTATAAATGCTCAATAAACCGCAGCCCACAAAGATCACCCACCTCCTTAGCTTTCAGCAAGTTAACTGCACAGGCCCTCACATTGGACGGAACTTACCTCTTTCATCCTGAAGAACGCCATTCCCGTCAGCAGTGAGTCTGAGCCTGCCTGGTGCTGCCTTCCAATTCTCTGCAAATCCAACTGATCAGCAACTTCCTGAAGACCTCCCTGGAGATGTAAGGAAAACAAAGATAATATTACAGACCCAACACTCCTCTACTGAAGTCAACTAAGTCCATTCCTGAGTTCACCTAATTTTGGTGGCAAGAAGTGGGAACAGACCATTTACTTAATAGGCCTTAGTATCCCCTTTTTAGCCCTTAACTCTTTTTCTTCCCTCCAAATGAAACACTGTGTTATATTCTACTTTTTGCTCCTTTCTTCTCTGTATCATTAATTTTGCCAGACCTCTGTCCTTTAAAGTCAAAACTGCTGCAAGGTCAAGGGTTCAGATCCCAGTGCTGGCCAACCGCAAAAAAAACCAAACAAAACCAAAAACAACCTTTACAAAGGAAGACAGAAGAAATAGTAAATGCCAATCCAATTCTAGAGAGCAAACCTCTTATATTAACAGTTTATTAGGATAGTGAGTTCCCAAACATTCTATGAGGAACCCCTCTGAGAATCTGGTACACTACAGACCCCACCCCTAACAAATTGCACATCTACCTCAGGGTGTCAACTGTTTCACTAGGTTCATGGGCCTCAAGTGAAGAAATCCTGCCTTAGGATGAGAGAAGCAGAGGGATCTCTTCATGCCCAGGTTAAACATAGTTATCACACAATCCTTGTGCCAATTACCTCTATATTATACCCTGTCTAGCATAATGTTAGCACCTCACAAGTACTCGAGAAAGCATGCTGAACACATATTGATAAAGCAAAATGACAAGTCTTTTTGCACCTCACAAGTACTCGAGAAAGCATGCTGAACACATATTGATAAAGCAAAATGACAAGTCTGTTTTTTTTGCATGCTGAACACATATTGATAAAGCAAAATGACAAGTCTGTTTTTTTTGTATTCTTTTGTTACTAGTATTAAGAAACACATTGTTTACCTTAAGATTTTTACAACTCTTCATCAAGTATTTCACATCATAAATGGATGGGAAGAAAAGGTTCAGAATATGAAAGAATTCATGTTCCTCTTCTGGCAAACGAGAATCTGTAAGCAACTTTACCATATAGCCAAAATCATAGCCACTACAAGGAGAAAATGAAGCACAGAGGTTAAAAAAAAAAGCAGCAGTTACGAGGCCCCAGCACTCAACCACATTTATTTCTCAAAGCTTATGATGCTACCTCATGTTAGAGACTTTCAGTATTCCAAAGCAGTTTATCCTACTGTAATCTTAACTTTCTATTAAATAACATAAGAAACTAATATGGGGGATATGTAAGAGAACTCAAGGGTTTATAAATGTGGATTTGATTTGTAAAAAATCCAAAAGTACTGAAAAGGTAAAATAACATTAAAGATAAAATAAATATTAAAATAATCTCCTAAGAGATTTTGAGTACCTGAGAAACTCCAGAACAGCCATTTAAAAAGACAAGCAAGTGCTGCAACCCTCTTCACCCTCCATCTTTCCACTTGGAATTACATCCACTGATGGCCACTTAGGAGATACTAAAGTTCTATCTGTCTGAAACAAACCAGTATGAGCACCAAAGTGTTTTCTGAAAAACTGAAACACATGCAACAGGTACCACTTCAACTTCTGACTGCTACTGATAAACAGAACAGAGGCTGCAAAAATACTCCCCCAGCTCCACTGTAGCCCAAAGCAAGAAAGAGAGACAGAGACACATATACATTCTCTGAGACTGACCTGTGAAATGAAAGCCATTTAACATTGTCACAGAGAACCACTCCTGATGTCATAAGCAGCTCTGCAAAGTGTAGTGTGTCAATCCCTTCCTCTTCATGCTTCTGAAACTGCAGTCCTGAGTTAGCAAGGAGGTCTATGGAATCCTGGGAGTACATGTCCTCTCTAAAAAACAAAGTTTTTACTTATTAGCTGGTGGATAAAGAAACAGAAGTAATGGGCAAAATATTACCATCACCTTATAATTATAGTACAAGTATCCTTGAAGTGCTTTTCATAATTTAAGACTAGATCAACTCAACTGATTCTTTACAACAATTCCAGCAAGCATGCAAAGTAGATCATTTTATTTCTGTGACAGATAGAAAAATGGGATTCTTCCCCACAGTCTAAATTTCCTAATTATAAAAGATTCACATTTGCTCTTTGTTTAAAAAAAAAAAAACAACACAAAAATATTAAAAATAACAGAAAATGAAAAAAATTAATGTTCTCCTAATGCTACCCCAGATATAACTAACGACTCAGTTTATATCCTTCCAGACTACTTTCTCTATGTACACATACACACCTACACCCCTACATCTACATACCACAGACCATCTTTCCACATCAATACTTATAACACATGCTTTGTAACTCTGGCATAATATTCTACCATAGAGACAAGTCCATTAATTTAAACACAGGAATATTTATAATTCCACATAACTTAAAGTAGAAAAATAGTAAGCTCTTCCACAGGATTTCCATTTTCATTTGTTCTTCATATAAATTTGGGTTAAACAATCAGAAACAAAACCACCACAATCTTAATTTATTCTCACTAAATTAAAACCAGTGTTAAATCATGACTTTCTGTTCCACCTTAAATAAGTGTTATTTTAAATTCATACATATACAAACCCCTCAATGAGTAACCTTAATTTTTTTTCCTTGTGTTATATTATCATTATGGTACAAACTACAGGCCTTGGGCAATAGACTAAAAAAATGCAGTTAAAGGAAAGATCCAGATCACCTCCCAAAATTATCTGAACCTCCTCAAAGAAATTTTCAAAACATATGAACAACAATTAAAAAATTATTCCTGCACTATCAAATGCTCCTGATGCCTAGTTAAACAAAGCAGTGTTAAAAAACTGGGACCCAATAAGAAATACACTAACACCACCTTATGCAATCAGCAAAATGACAGTCCCCCGCCCCAATTTTCTTCTTAAAAAATTACATCATCTTCAAAAAGTTAAAAATAGAACTATCATATGATCCAGCAATCCTACATCCAAAATTATTGAAGGCAAGATCTCAAATTAATATCTGCACACCCAAGTTCACAGCAGCACTATTCACAACAGCCAAGAGGTGGAAGAAACAAGTGTCCATCAACAGATGAATATACAAAATGTGGTGTATGTACACAATGGAATATTATTCAGCCTTGAAAGGAAGGAAATCTTGCCACATGCTAAAACATGGATAAATCTTGAGGACATCACACTAAGTGAAATAAGCCAGTAAGAAAAAGACAAATACTGTAAGAATTCACTTATAAGAGATATCTGAAGTAGTCAAAAATCACAGTAGGGCTGGCTGGTTTGCTCAGTTGGTTAGAGCATGTGCTGATAACACCAAGGTCCAGGGTTTGATCCCTGAACTGCCCAGCCTCCAAAAGAAAAATTTTTTTTTAAATTGTAGAAACAAGAAAGTAAAATGGTGGTTACCAAGAGCTGGGGGAGGGAGAAAAGGGGAGTTGTTTAATGGGTATGGAGTTTATGTTTTGCAAGACAAAAAAGTTCTGGAGATCTGTTTCACAACACTGTGAATTTACTTAACACTACCAGACTATACACTTAAAAATGGTTAAGATGGTAAGTTTTATGTGTTTAACCAAACAATTTTTTTAATTACATTAGAATTTGCCCACTATCAGATAGACTTCAGATTCAACTACCCTTGATTAGCACCCACTCTACACCTTATTTCTATTATGACAGGTTACTAAAAACCCTGTTTTACAGAATAAGGAAATCGAGTTACAGAAGGTGAAATGACTGACCCAAAATCACCCAGCTAAGAAATGACAGAACTGCAATTCAAACGTTGATCTCCTAACTACAACTGGGGACTTGACTTACTGAGGTATAATTCACTCATATACCAAATGCTTCACTCATTTAAAGTATACAATTAAAAAATAAAGTATACAACTATTTTTTTAGTATATTCACAGTTGTGCAACCACCACCATAATCAATTATAGAACATTTTCAGCATCTCAAAAATAAAACCCCATACCTATTAAGCCATCACCTCCCATTACCCCAAAACCTCCCCACCCCCTGCTCTAGACAACCACTAATCTATTTTCTGTCTCTACAAATTTGCCTATTATGGACATTTCATATAAATGGAATCATACTATATGTGTTTGTGACCAGCTTCTTTCTCTTAGCACAGTGTTTTCAAGGTTCATCCATGTGTAGCATGTATTAGAACTTCATTTTTTTTTTTTATTGCCCAATAACATTCATTGTATGGATGGATATATCACATTTTACTTATCCATTTGGCAATGCACAGACATCTGAAATGAATTTTGGACTATCACAAATAATGCTGCTGTGAAAATTCATGTACAAGTTTTGGCATGGACATATGTTTCATTTATCTTGGACATATACCTAGAAGTGAAATTTTGAGTTATACAGCGACTCTGTTTCACCTTTTGAGGAACTGCTAAATTGTTTTCCAAGAATTCCACATTCCCAACAGCAAAGTATGAGGGTTCCAATTTCTCCACACCCTCACCATCACTTATGTCTTTTTGACTATAGTCATCTAGTGCTTGTATAGTGGTTTCTAAATGTGTTTTTGATTTGCATTTCCCTAATGACTAATGATGTTGAGCATCTTTTCATGTGTTTATTGGCCATTTGTATATATTCTCTGGAGATATGTCTACTCAGATTTTTTGCCCATTTTTAACTGGGTTATGTCTTTTCCCATTTGTATATATTCTCTGGAGATATGTCTACTCAGATTTTTTGCCCATTTTTAATTGTTGAGTCTTAAGAGGTCTTTAAGGGGGACTTTACTTTCTAAGATTCCCTATTCCATCCTCTATTTTTTTTTGTCTTTTGTCTTTTGTCTTTTTCCGTGTCCGGCAACGGATTGCAACCCTCAGTGTTGCCCCCGTACCGGACTGGGGACCGGCAACGGGACCGCAACCCTCGGTGTTGCTCCCGCGCCTCGCTCAACCAGTGAGCAGGAACCGGTCTGTATGTGGGATCCGAACCCTTGGGCGGGAGCGCCGCCGCGCTTCCCAAGCAGCGCACTATCCAGTGCGCCACCGGGCCGGCCCTCCATCCTCTATTTGACTGCTCTGTCCAACACCTACCTGTGCTCAGTGGAAATTAAAAAAAATTAATAAAATCAATTAGAAACCAGTCTGCACAAATGTAGCAAATTGGGGCTGAACCTGTGGCGCACTCGGGAGAGTGCGGCGCTGGGAGGGCAGCAGCGCCGCAGGTTCGGATCCTATATAGGGATGACCTGTGCGCTCACAGCGCTCACTGGCTGAGCGCGGTGCAGCCGGTCTCAAAAAGGACAAAAAAAAAAAAAAAAAAAAACAAATGTAGCAGATCTAAGAATAATACTGAGAAGTGTTTCAAACACTTACGTAAGATTGAATTTGAAGTTGAACTGCCAAGTGTTGATTCCAGAAGGATATTCCCCCTTCTCATTCGTGAATGTAAGGCCCAGCTGGATAATTTTCAAAAGGTCAACATTGCACCGCAGAAGCTGATACTGATAATCTATGGAACTGCGAAATTCACCAATTGGTCGCACCACAACACCTGGAAATTCTGTGTCCTAGAAAAGGAAAAAGTCTCTTGTCATAAGGTTTCACAAAACAAGGGATGCTGGGGCTGGCTGGTTAGCTCAGTTGGTTAGAGCATGGTGTTATAACACCAAGGTCAAGGGTTTGGATCCCCATGCCAGCCAGCCAACAAAAAATAAAGATCCTAAGCAGGATGTGAATAGAAGTAATTGAGTAACTATAGGTAGATATGCAATTAATTAAGAACCTCCGATTCATATTTGAGAACAATATATGAATAAAAAATGTAAATATAGGGAAGTGAAACAGCCATTTACGAAAAATAAAGAACCAAGTTTAGCTTGAGTAAAAAGACTGGAATGAGGTCACAGAGTTCTGAATACCAGGCTAAAGACTTAATTCTATAATCTCTAAACAAGAATCACAAACTCCAAGCAGCTAATGTAGAAGAGTAAAGTAAGCTGGGTATGAAAATGGTAACAATGGGGACTGGAGTAAAATAGAGGACATACGCCTCTCTACAGGAGGCCCTTAAAATGACCACAACACTCATCTCCTTCTCTAGCCACACTATGGCAGGAAGGAATGTGCACCGTATATTATCAGATCTTCCCATTTTCTTCCAGAGATGACAAAATTCCAGAATTCAAGTGAGGTCTCTTGATTTTTAAATGCTGGCAATGAATTTTTTACATAATTTTTAAAACACTGTACAGTCAAATTCACCATATCTGTGGAACAGATGTGCCCTATGCACAGATATAACTTCTGCTTTAAAGACTTTAGAACCAGGCTGGCCAGTTAGCTCAGTTGGTCAGAGCATAGTGTTTTAACACCAAGCAAGGTCAAGGTTCGGATCCCCACACTGGCCAGCTGCCAAAACAAAACAAGACAAAAAAAGACTTGAGAACAGAACAGCATTACAAAAAAAAATTAAGATATTAGAGGTGACATCCTTCTCTGAGACACTGGCTACCTTGATATTTCATAAAAGCAACATAACCTTCCATCAAGTTTAATTTACTATAGCTTTAATATAATCATTTATTTTCAAAATCTCACATTAATTGTTCCCTAAGCCCATTAAAAAGGTGAGTCAAATAGAGTGGAGCTCCTTACCATGGCAATGTAACTGTAACTGAGCACGATTTCTCGGATCTTCCTCATCTCTTCTTCTAGATTGCTGGCCCAGACTTCACAAATAACCTGGCTATTCTCCACAAGTGCTGCAGGCATCCTGAAGAAACCTAAGAAGTCACTTTCGGCTATGTCAGAGGGCAAGGCAGACAATGTTTCATCTGATCTAGATTAAAAAACATATTTTGAAATCATGTCAGTTTATACACTGGCATAAGATGGCAACAAAACAAATACATCAAAACAGTATTTTACCATCACTTCACTAGTTTAAGCTTAAACATTGAGATCATTATATTTATTCTCAGTTTTATATGATGGTGAAACTTGACTCTGTCAAGATGCAAATGCACACAAAGTTCTTTAAATAGAAGAAACTAAAATTAAAGAAACTTTTGCCCAAGCAGCCCTTTAGCACAGCACAGCACAGCAATGAAACCACTACCTTTTGTTTAAAAACAAAAAAAGATGACCGGTAAGGGGATCTTAACCCTTGACTTGGTGTTGTCAGCACCACGCTCTCCCAAGTGAGCTAACCGGCCATCCCTATATAGGGATCTGAACCTGTGGCCTTGGTGTTATCAGCACCGCACTCTCCCAAGTGAGCCACGCGCCATCCCTTGAAACCACTACCCTAAACCAGTTTCTCAGCCCTCTGCAGACTACCTAAAAATTAAAATAGACTCCCATGACCACAAATATGCCATTAGCCATGACTTTTACATCACTGTTCAGAGAGACCACATCATGGGAACATTTCTAAAGGAATCACTTCAGCCATTTTCAATGTATCTGGGATCTCCGGAAGCTTTCCTGAGTGAATGTGATCCTAAACTCAGGCTCAGGTCTTTACACCCACATGATGAATATGGGTATGGGATTCCCTCCACCCCCCAATGAAGGAAATTCTTTTTTCCCACAATCCAAAAGTCAAATACAACTAGAGGCATTTAACTAAACTTAATATACTGCCTCTCTAGATTTGTGTAAATAGATCATAAAGTGAGGGATTTAGGTGATAAAAACCAATCCCACATGCTAATTTGAACCCTTAACAACCATAATGGAAATCAGAATTTGAGTTATTAATATCTACTTTTAAAAACATAATATTGTAAAGAAACTAAACAGCAATTCAACAATAAAAGTAAAGATGGTAGGTGTAAATAATTCAACCAGAACAGAATGATTTATGGTGTATTTTCCATGAAGCTGGGAAAGGGAAAGTATTCGGCAAAATAAAATTCAACATAGTTCAGCCTCAGAGTAATGCTGTTATTACAGCAAACTCAACATGAGAGACTTAGTTATAAAAAGACCAAAAAAGGAATTTTATCATAATGGTGTGTACTTATAAGGCCACCCCATGGCATAGATCCTCAACATAATATAATGTGGGCTCCAGTATATACATATTCAGGGGAAAATTCCTAGAAACAATAAAATAAATGTGAGTGGTTTCCAAAGTACAGAGCAAGGAAAATCTTTGATTACTGCTTTCAAGACTGGCAGATGCAACAATGTGAACAATGGAACAAAACAAAATTGGCATTCTCGTGTCATCATTTCTCTGAGAAATATCTGAGAAACCAATCTGTTGGTTTGTCAACAACCCTTGGAGATTCCATTTACTCAAGGTATCCTATATTTCTACAGATGTTTCTCTAAAATTATAGTTATTAAACTTAAGTAGACTATGTGCTATCTCCCCAATAAAAGTGTAAAATTCTTAACAGCAAAATCTATTCTCTTGTTTTTGTTCCATTAAATGCTTGCAAATGAATAAATAAAAACATCGAGAAAAGACAGAAGTTCAGATTCAATGTGGAGTAAATTCCACTATCTTGACAATTAAGAAAATGATGCGACTCAGAATTTTAGATTCCTAACCATGCTTTAGACTTTCCCCTGTAAAACCATTAAACCCATTAAAACCATTTCCTATGCCCATTTAATATTAAATCAGTGCCACTTCCTTATTTCCCTAACTGAAACACTTCAGGTGTCACTTCAAACACGACCATAAACTACTTTAGAAGAAGTGGGTATCACTCCTGAGGTTTTGAGAGAGGTTTCCATAAAAGCAAAAACAACAAAAGGGACACAAGCAAAAAATGTCTTTGGCCTCCACTTACAACAGAATTTGTTTTTTAAAAGCTAACCACTGTTATACATATCTCACAAATGGGGACTGCACAAGCCAGACCATTGGCAAAAATATGTAAAACATTCTTGCACCAAACTCTTAGCTAGGAAATCTGTGGGGAAATAATAATTTGCAAGCACCTGAATAGAGTGCCAAACAAAAATTGAAGAATCACATTATGCACATTTAACTTTGCAAGTCAAATTACTGAGTATGCTGGCCAAAAAAGAGAGAGAAAATAGTAATTTAAATAACACCAGCAATTCTGCCTGCCACTTTCCACTCAGTAAGCACATGCTCCAGAATGAGCCTAAGATAGGAACCACAAACATCCTGTTTGTTCCCTTGGTTTGTTTTCCTCCTTTTAAGTCTCTGAGTGTGAGCATCTCACAGTGTAGAATGACTCTATGCCTTTCAAATGTTTTTTTGTACAACACAGCCCCTAAAGGTAACATAATTACTTTATCTGGGTCACAACCAAAGAAACGGAACAGGTTTCTTTGTTTTGTTTTGGAGGCTGGAGGGTGCCGGGATCTGAACCCTTGACCTTCGTGTTATCATCAACACCACGCTCTAACCAAATGAGCTAACCGGTCAGCCAATAACAAGTTTCAAAGCTGAAGGAAAAACTGACTATGCTGGATTTACACACACACACTCCTCTCTCTCCCCCCCCCCTACAATTAATGAGGTCCCTGCTGTGGGCTGACCTGCAGCATAATCTGTTCAGATGGTTCCCGATGACTTCCAGTATAAACTTCTCCAAAATAGAGTTCCTATTTACCCAGAAAAGCTCTGAAGAGCAACTAATTAATGATAAAGCCACCAAAAGCTTTCTCTGCAAGCAATCCAGAGTACCAGGCCTTGCATGGGAAAAGAATATTTAGTCGAGTTTGGTTTTTCTGCTTTGATTTAGGCTTAACTAAGTGTGCAAAGAAATAAACACCACTTCCCTATGAAGCCACCAAAAGCTTTCTCTGCAAGCAATCCAGAGTACCAGGCCTTGCATGGGAAAAGAATGTTTAGTCGAGTTTGGTTTTTCTGCTTTGATTTAGGCTTAACTAAGTGTGCAAAGAAATAAACACCACTTCCCTATTCTAAAGGACTGAACAAAGCCCATGCCGTGCATGAATAAGATGGAAAAGGAAGTAGCAGCACGCAGCCGCGTGGAAGCGGGTCCTCTCTGTACTCGCCGCCGCGATCCTCCGCCCCCAGCGCAAACACAGTATCTAAAGACACTGCCCTGAACCGCAGTTAAAGTAGTTCTTAAAACCACCCGAGTGGCCCACGTCTGTGAGCTGGCTCCTCCAGAGCAACGGCCCTGATTCATAAAGCCATCGAACAGCAAGGAAAAGCCGTGGGGCCGCAAGAACTGAGAAGGAGGAGACGAGTTTAGAAGGTGCAGACCCTGAAGGTTCCAAACTCTGGTCAGGTCCCTACTCAGTCTCCCGTCATCAGTCTCTTCTCGTTCAGATCACGCTCCCACTTCAGACCACACTCAGCCATCCACTCCTAACACCCCATTCCTTTTTTTTTTTTTTTTAATTTTTTTTTCTTTTTTTGTTAAGCAAAGATATTAAAATTACAGGCTTTGAGGCCAGACTTAAATCCGAAGCCAGGCCAGGCCACGTACTAGCTGTGTGGCCTTGCATAAATTACTTAACCTCTTCCGTGCCTCACTTCTTCTACCTTGCGAAATGGGTTTTGATAATAGTATGCACCTCGGAGGATTGCTAAATAAAGCATATAAGTTGCTTTCTAAAGTCTTGACACATATCACTAGAATATTATCATCGTGTGGTTGTCGTTATTATTACTACTCTTCGGTGGGCTTCTTCCCTCTTCACACACCCCACCCCTCATACATGCACCCGGTCCTCGTCCTCCCACAGGCCCCCGATGGCCTCCCACACTCTTTCATCTTACGCTCCTCTCTCCGGTAAGCAGGGCCCGCTTACCCTGACTACCAGGGCACGCGAAGCGCAGGCTGGCGTGCTGGCGGGCGGATTCCCCAGCGGCAGCGGCGGCGGCGGCGGCGGCAGCAGCCCCAGACCCGGAGTTCTCCCTCTGCCTCGGATCAGCTCCTAGAACCGGGCGGGCCAGTGAGATGGGAACCCACGTGCCCAGAGCGGTCTTACGTACCGCCTACCGAGCGACCTGGCTGCACCACTCTACCCACCTGATCCGTCCAACTCGCCTGCTCTCTTGCGCCACTCCAGACGCGCGCGCGCCTAATCATGCCCGCTCCTCCCCCTTTGCGCGCTCTGGCGATTCGCGGCGTGTTCGCTCAGCCGGTGAGCTCGCAGGGAGCCGCGCGCAGGCGCAGAACCAAAAGGGATCCGGGAGAAAAAAGATGGGGCGGGGCGGCGTCAGAGGACCCATGCGGAAAACGACCCCCCCCACGGCCTTCGCGCGATTGTTTGTGAAGGCTCAATTCAATTACGGCCGCCACTCCTCCATTCCGGTTCTCCTTCCGCGCGCCCAAGGAAGGGGCGTGGCCTAGAACTAACCGCCTCTGGTGGGCGTGGCGTAGAAAGACCAAAGGCCGAGGAAAGAGCGTGGCCCGCCCTACCAAATCGTCTCAAGTCACAACGTTCCCTTCTCCCAGCTTCCCAGCTCTGAAGGACCGTTAAAATCGTTGCGGGGAGTTTGACGGCGGGAAGGCCTGACCCCTCCTTTTGTGAGGGCCCCCTGGATCCCTCACTTACAAAAATCTACCTCACGGGTTTCTTTCTGGCAAACAATTAGTTGGGGGGTGGGTCGTGCGGCACCCCCAAGCCGGGTCTGAGGGACGTCCCCCAAGGCCCGCCTCCTTCCCCGCCTCAAGAGCTGGGCGAGGGGCGTTGCCATAGCAACCGGCCCGCAGATGCCTGCCCGAGTTACAAAGAGGACAGCGTCTCCCGTGGGGGAAGCGCCGGCGAGAAGCTGCCAGACCTTTTGGACGCTGAGCAGGCTCGCCAGATTGTAGTTTCGAGATCCGCGGGGCCCAGGCCTCGCCCAGGAGGTCTCTCCCAGCCGCTTGATTCTCTTTTAATCCTGTTTGGAGAGAGGACTCTTTTTTGCCCACGCTTGCCCTTGGCAGCGTCTGACCAGGCTGAGATGCCCCACTGCCTCGTGTTCTTCGGCAGTGGGGAAGAAAACAAAGCACCGCCTTGACTGTCGTTCCGGACCGCCCTCACTGTCACTCTCGCAAGTGCTCCACCCCCGTCCCTGAGGGGAGGTGGGGGCGGCCCCAAGCACGCTTCTAGTCGTAGTCCCAGCGGCTTTTCCTTGCAGGGGGCTGTTGGTAAGCGTCCTGTAAATGGTCCCCTGGTAACCGAGAGAGTAGCCTTCGTGCTATTCACTTTGCATTTTTAAACATTTCCCCCTAAGGGGATTCTCCAAAATCCTACTTCCCCCTGCTAGGCTAGATGCTGAGCCGGCCTCAAATGGCAATTTCAAATGGGAGTCACAAAAGCTACAGTCTCCAGGGAGGTGAATTCCTAGCCCCAGCCTCCGGGATAAGCGCATCAAATACGCTTTCCGAACCCCACTCCCTCTCTTTCCCTCCAAGTGAGTGTCCCCTTATTTATAAATTAGGGATACGAATCACTCTCTCCAAGGTGGTTGTGAAGATAAATAGTTAATAATGGAAAATGCACTCCGTACTGAGGAAGGTAAGAGCATTCAATAAATGATCGTTTCTGGCCTGTCTCAATTTGTTTTCTCAAAAAAAAAAAAAAAAAAAAAAAAAAAGATGACCTGTAAGGGGATCTTAACCCTTGACTTGGTGTTGTCAGCATCATGCTCTCCAAGTGAGCTAACTGGCCATCCCCATATAGGGATCCAAACCCACGGCCTTGGTGTTATCACCACACTCTCCCAAGTGAGCCACGGCCGGCCCTTGTCCCTGCTTTTCTTATGTAATGTATTAACCTTCCTCAGGCTCTTGGATGTTATCAAAATAGATCATCAAACTTTCCCTAAATGTAGAGCAAAGATTATGCTTCATGACTAAGCATTTGAATAGTATTTTGATTACAACCAAAAACTTTCTGATATCTGATGATTTCAGGTTTCTGAAAAGTTTTCAGAGTATTATTTTTTTAAATCTGGAAATAGATATCAAATCTATTTTATTTATATCTCATTTGAGTCCAGGGTTTGATCCCTGTACTGGCCAGCCACCAAAAAAAAAAAAAAGTGTATCTCATTTGATTTTCCCTCTTCTTTAAATTTTACTAAAGTTACAACATTTCAAAATCTAACAGTAATAATCATAGACCTGTAAATCTCCAAAGCTGAAAGTGTCCATAAAAATCTTCTAAACAATACATCCCCTAATTTCACAGAAAAGATTAACTTGATTAAGGTCACCCAGCTCTCAGAGATAGGACTAGGATGTAAGTCTTCTGATTCTCAATCCAGTATAGCAGATTAGATGTTCATTCAGTCAGTTTTGTTTATGGTCCATTTGCTATGATTGGGTCCCCATGTTGGCATTGGAGGACACACTGGTGAATGAAACAGACATGGTTCCTGGCCTTGTAGAGATAAACATTTGATGGCAGGGACTGGCAAAACAAGTAAACAAGCATTCAAGTAAAAAAAAAGATAATGAGAAATTGTGATAGCTGTCATGAAGGAAACTAATGGAATAAAGTGACAATAAATAACTGGATTGGGAGAGGATAGGGGAAATTACTTACATGGAGGTCAAAGGCCTCTCTGAGGAGGTAGCATTTAGGCAGAGATGAGAAGGACAAGAAGCACCCAACCAGAGAGAAAGAGAGCAGCATGAGGAGCTGGGGACAGTAGATTTCAGGCAGAAGAAAAGAAATGAGTTTTACATGTTATAGGTAGTGAAAGGAGGCCAGGGCAGCTGTGCAGAGGTGGACCAAAGACAGAGTGGCCCAGGATGAAGCTGGAGAGGAAAGCAGAGGCTAGGTGAGGCAAGGCCTGGGAGGTTTAAGACAGCACTCTGTTCGAAGTGCAATGGGAAACCTTAAAGGATTTACTGAGAGGAATGACTTGATCCTAATTTATGTTTTTAAAGATTATTTTGGGGCCGGCCCGGTGGCGCACTGGATAAGTGCGCCGCTTGGGAAGCGCGGCGGCGCTCC